ATTTGGATAGATTTTATACACAATTTTTTTTTTTCAAATCTTTTCTCAAATTCATGAATCAAATACAATCTAAAAATAATAATTTGAAAAAAAAAACTATACTGTTTCAATTTTTTTTATATACTGCTTCAATTTTTTTTTTCTTCTTCTTGATTAGTTTAACAAAAACAAACAAACATAATTAAGAAGGAAAGTAAGAGAGAGAAAAAATCAATTAAAAGAAAGAAATAACTTTCAAATTATTGAAAGAATCTCACACCAATAAAATATTAATTAAAATCAACTAAAAATTGTGTAGATCCTATTCAATGATTTTCTACTTTTACACCAAGAATAAGTTGATTTAGGTTCCATTTGTTTTGATATAAAATAATTTTCATATAAATTAATTTTACACACAAAAAAATATTTTGTATTTGTTTTTTGCGTTTAGTTCATAATTGTAACGAAAAATTTATATTGCATGTTTGTATAACTAAGTTCAGTAAGCTCATAGGGATAGCAATGGGGCAAGTAGAGTGGGTTTTACCATCTCCATCTCCATCCCCAATCCTCAATTTTTATTTTTTTCCCATCCTCCATCCCCAATCCCCAACGGAGACCAAGTTCTTACAACCAACCCCCACCCCTCATGGGGATCGGTTTTCCCCGCCTCTAACATCCTCACCCCATTTGCTTTGCTTCATTGCTTTGCTTTAGGTATATCTCCATTAATATAAACAAGCTTTAGGTATATCTCCATTAATATAAACAAAATAAAAGCAAAAGATTAAGAATTGAAAAAAGTGAGTGGAAGAGACAAATTGATTAAGATTGTGTTTGGTTTATGTATTTGAGGACAAATTTGGATAGATTTTATACACATTTTTTTTTCAAATCTTTTCTCAAATTCATGAATCAAATACAATCTAAAAATAATAATTTGAAAAAAAAAAATATACTGTTTCAATTTTTTTTATATACTGCTTCAGTTTTTTTTTTTTTTTTTTTTTTTTTTTTATTTGTTTAAAAAAAAAACATAATTAAAGCCAAGTTTGGCATATCTAAACTAATCCATCTTTTTATCTTTTTTCCATTACATCACCTCTCTACTTTTCTGCACATCTTTTCGTAAAAATACAAAAAGTATACTTATTTAGGTCATCCCAAACAACCCTTAAGGAGGAAAGTAAGAGAGAGGAAAAATCAATTAAAAGAAAGAAATAACTTTCAAATTATTGAAAGAATCTCACACCAATAAAATATTAATTAAAATCAACTAAAAATTGTGTAGATCTTATTCAATGATTTTCTACTTTTACACCAAGAATAAGTTGATTTAGGTTCCATTTGTTTTGATATAAAATGTTTTTCATATAAATTGATTTAACACACAAAAAAATATTTTGTATTTGTTTTTTGACGTTTACTTCATAATTGTAACGAAAATTTTTTATTACATGAAAGAGTTAGAATACCTATTTGAAAAGTCAAATGTGCTGAAAGAGTTTGATTACATAATTTTTAATGTCAAGTAATTTTTGAAACTATAATGGAAAACATTTTTACTTATATTTTGTTCAGCCAAACAAGAAAAAATGAATAGAATATTTTAAAAAAAAGATGTTTTACGTCAAAACAAAATAAAAAAACTTTAATAAAAATAGTTTGTAGTAGTAATAATAATAATAACAATTTACCTTGAATAGGCAAAAATTTCACATGCAACTATTCGTGATTTTTTATTTTTAATTCTAAATTTAGTAAATTAGGAAGCGCATAACATAAAAGAATTATTATTATTTTTCTATATTTAGTTATAAATTGGACTAAATTGACTTAATTATAAAAGTTGAAAGGCATAAATAAAAAAATTAAAAGTATAAGATTTACACTTAAAATTTCGAAGGATTAAAAATTTAATAATCACATTAAAAATATAATTAAATTTAAAAACACTAATTGATAACTTTTCATATATATATAATATAAATGTGCGTGTTCGTGTGAAGTACAAAGATAACAGTATATGTAAATTATTTTAGGATATAGAACCAATAATTTGTTATAGCATAGCTGGTTAGTAGCTTCACCCTGTATGGTGTTTGAGTCACGGAGACTCTTTTGTTTTTACCTTGATTTTGTTTTTACCTAGACTTGGGGACAAGGGATAGGTTTTTCGCCATTGGATATTCGGCGGCATGGGTCTCCATTGAATTTGGATTTAATTAATCCACTCTAATAATAGCTAGGTGGTGTGGGTCTCCATTGAATTTGGATTTAATTGTCATACCAATATGTCCGTATTGTGATTTATTAAAAATAGCGATATCAAATATTAATAATCATGTAATATTACTATTACATTAAATTTTTATTTTGTAAGCCCCATTCTTGCGACCAACCACCTTTAGTCAGTTTTGATCATCATTTTCCTAAACTACAAAATAATAAACATTATGTTTAAAGCTTTGAGTATAAGAAAAAAAACAAGTCATTTTAGAATATATACTCTTAACATCCTTAAAAGGAAGGTGTGTAGCATATGTAAATTGTATTTATAGTATTGATTATTATAAATATCATAACTAAATTATTTTCAATCATAATTAAAAAAAAAATAATGAGTTATAACTATAATTATAAGTGAGAGGGGGATTTGCGCCGGACAGGTACGACCGAGCTACGGTAACACGGGTTATAAGAGACCTTGCGAGAGTCGGGCTATTTCCTCAGTCGGAGTGATTTCCAGGCCCGTCATACCCGGCCAAGCTAGATTTGTTGACCGGAGCGTGGAGTTAGGCGTGTGCCAGATCGAGCTATGATTTGGCTAGGTCTTCGTTGAATCCGCAATGGTGCGTCTGGACCGAGCCAAGAACAACCCAGAATGAATTTAGGCCGGGGCGAAGGCCGGCACGCGTCACGGCCAGTCAGCCCAAAAGGACCGACTTCATACAGCTTGGCCGTGACAATCATTATTGTGTTTCTTCCCAAGGGATAGGTCGGTCATGGTATCCCGGTTTGCCGCTTGAACCAATGGTGCAATGGAGGGGAAATCCACTCCTGGCACGCGTCAATACCGTTTGGCAGTTCTACGCATGTTGTTTGGAGGTTTTAGCCTTTACACGCGTAAGGTGGTGAGAGGAGAGCACTGCCACCTGTCTAGGGAAGGACAGTAGAGGTAGTGCGCGCATAATCCCTGAGGATGCATGGCTAGCCTAGAAAAGGGAAGAAGGGGAGATGTTGGAGGTACGCAATCTGAACAATTCTCTCTCTCTCTAGAAAGTGCTCTCTTCTTCTTCAAGCGGTCTGACTTGATCGCCGGAGGGTCTATCCGGCAGCACACCGCCGGGCAGCTCACTATTTCTTTGTCTTCAGGTCAGGCGTCGTTACGTGAAGCTTGAGTTCAAGGAGTACGGAACGCTAAGGATATTTCACTCCTGTACAATTGGCGCCATCTGTGGGAAGTACTTTGATACTCAAACCTTGCTCTTCAAGCTTTTTCGATCGTTTCCATGGCTAACAATGATGAGACTCACTGTCCGTCGTCGATGGTGTCACACCGGAGTCTATTCGACGGAGAGAAGGCCCCCCTACTATTCCAGCCATGACGGGCCTGGAGACTTCTTCGCGAGGCGCGCGAGATAAACGCGCAAGGAGTACTAATCGCTCGAAGAGTCCAGAGGGCCGTCGACGGCAGGGGGAGTCGCATGTACAGCGCCTGGAGCACAAACTCAAAGACCAGGATGCCCTCATTCGTAAGATGGCGGTTGAAATGAAGGTGCTGAAATGCCAGATCAAGGGGAAAGGTGTTGCTGGAGAGGGCAACCTTAGTGAGCGCACCCTATCTCATAGTTCTGGCAGTTGCCGCCAAGAAATGATGCACTCTTTCTATCACCAGAAGCTATGGAGTCGGGGACTCCGACCCACAGGTGGGAAAATCTCACACTTGTGACAACACCTACCATCCCTCACGCCCATCGTCGACGTCACGATACTCCTTTTCCGCCCGTTCGGGAGACCTGAGGGATATGTTGGAAAAGAGGGCTCGTTGTAGGGATACTCAGAGATTGCCGGCATTGCAGAGGCTAAGCTCTCAAACCTGTTGTAGTGAGGAAGTGGTGATGCCAGCACTCACAGTGGTGGCCCCAATGCTTGTAGACAAAGAGCTAGCAAGACTTACAACTATGCCGCAGTCTCCAGAAATCGAGAGTACACCACTCCCTGTCGGATTCCACCAACCAAAGTTCATATTGTACGACGGCAGGACGGACCCGTACATGCGCGTGAGTCATTACCGACAAGTAATGACTGGGCACCGGCCCAATGACGCCTTGATGTGCCTCATATTCCCAGCATGCTTAGGAGAACTGGGCTTGAAATGGTTCAAAAGGCTTCCGGAGGGGAGTATCGAGGGATGGCAACAATTAGCGGAGGCCTTCGCCACCAGACTCAAAACCAACACTCGAACACCAAAGGAGGTCGACCATCTCCTGGGCGTCAAGATGGAGTCTGGAGGTTCATTGAAGGCATACAATGCGAAGTACTGGGAAACTTACAATGAGATCCTCAACTGCCCCACCAATCTGGTGATTACCCCATACAAGCGAGGTCTCCCAGTCGGACATAGGCTGCGAGATTCGCTTACAATGCACCAGCCCACAACCATGGAGTCCTTGATGCAACGGATCAATGAACACATCCGTGTGGAGGATGATGCCACCTCCGCGATCGAGAAAGCTAATTCGGTCGCGGCAGACGGAAGAATGGCGGGGAAGGTTCACTCGATCGGGCAGGAGGACAACCGCCCAAACGACCGGTCAAAAGATCAACGTCGTGGCTCAAACCGCGATGATAGAAACAAAGGTTGAGGAAACGACTGAGGTAACGCTCCTTGTGATGAAGAGGAAGATGCTAAGAGAAAGTTGAAGGCGCGAACTGGTATCACCACGGTCTTAAAAATAACTATTTACCGTATCCTGAGTGAAAGCCGAGGTGAACCTTTCGTTCGTTGGCCGGCCATGTTGGGGAGTACACAGAGAGGTTTCAACTCAAGATATCGCTGCACATTCCATGAGGAACGAGGGCACCAAACGGAGGATTGCTTGCCGCTCAAACAACATTTGGACGAGCTGGTGGCGGTGGGACATCTGGACCAATACATTGATGGGGGCATGAAAGCCGTTCCACTAGGACAGACCGAACCAAACGGCCTAGTCGCCCTAGACGCAGCGCCACAAGGTGTAATCAATGTCATCCATGGCATCATCGAACCGGCAAGGGTTTGCGAGTTGAGAGGGCTGATCAAGAAAGCCGAGCACATGAGGGAGGTGCTCTCCGTTCAGCCCGCTGTGAAGAAAGGAAAGACCGAAGAAAAAGATATCCTTACCTTTTCAAGCAAGGACTTGGAGAGAATTCAAATGCCCCACAATGACACCCTACTAGTGACTCTTCGCGTCAAAGACTTCGACATCAAAAGAATTTTGATTGACCAGGGGAGTTCAGTTGAAATCATGTATTATGACGCATTCAAACAAATGAGGTTAGAGGACAAGGACTTAGCCCCTGCAACGTCTCCTTTGATTGGCTTCAACTCTCAACAAGAATGGCCAATAGGGAAGATCATATTGCCGGTCAAAGCAGGTTCGGTCATGAAACAAGTAGAGTTCTGGGTGCTTAAGGTCCCATCCACCTACAACTTAATCTTGGGCAGGGGCTAGTTGCACGCCATGCAAGTAGTAGCGTCGACCTACCATCAGGTTCTGCGCTTCCCGGCGCCAACCGGGCAAGTAGAAGAGGTTTGGGGCAACCAGGTAATGGCAAAACAGTGCTTCGTTGCGGTGAACGGCAGCCGAACCGCCAAAGGCTTTGTTCAAATGATAGAGGGCCCGAAGGGAAAGAAAGTCCTTGAAAACGTAGGAAGAAAGGCCGAGGAGAAATCGGTCGAAGATTTGGTAGAGGTGCACATCGACGAGAACGATCCAACTAAGTTATTTATTTTGGGATCATCCTTGTCCAGCGCCGAGCGACTTCAATATGTCGAATTTTTGGTTTCTAACAAAGAAGCTTTTGCATGGACGCTTTACGATATGCCTGGCATCGATCCTAGCTTCATTTTCCATCAGTTGAATGTCTTCCTAAATGCACGCCTGGTCATCCAGAGGACAAGACGCTCGGCCTTGCACCACGCCATGATAGTGGCAGAGGAGGTCAAAAACCTACTAGAAGCAAATGCCATAGAAGAAGTACAGTACCCAAGGTGGATCTCCAACACAGTAGTAGTGCCGAAGAAAAACGGTAAATGGCGGGTGTGCGTTGATTACAAGACGGTCAACCGCATGTGCCCAAAGGATAACTTTCCCCTTCCAAGAATTGACCAACTGGTAGACTTAACCGCTGGCCACCGGAGGTTTAGCTTCCTGGATGCGTATCGGGGCTACCACCAGATAGCCATGTACGAACGAGACCGAGAAATCACTTCATTCACCACTCCACGAGGCCTGTATTGTTACAAAGTCATGCCGTTCGGATTGAAAAACACCGGGGCCACTTTTCAGAGGATGGTAACCAAGATATTCGCTCCCCTTCTAGGCCGCACCATGGAGGCTTACATCGATGATATGGTGGTAAAAAGCAAGGAAAAGTCTCAACACCTTGCCGACCTAGCAGAGATATTCACTACACTTAAACGTCACAAGCTGCGTCTGAATGTCTCCAAGTGCGCCTTCGAAGTTGGCATTGGCAAGTTTCTGGGTTTTTTGGTCACAAATCGAGGAATTGAAGCCGACCCTTCCCAAATCAAGGCGATACAAGAGCTGGAGCGCCCAAACTCCACGAAAGACGTGCAACATCTTGCCGGGATAGCAGCCGCGTTGAACAGATTTATAAGCCGGTCTTCAGATCGTTGCAGGACCTTCTTCAAAACTTTGAAGGCCAAGTTCTTCTGGGATGATGAATGTGACCGTGCGTTGGCAGATCTAAAAGTATACCTTTCCTCAGCCCCTATCCTAGTCACACCAAAACCGGACGAAGAACTGTATCTCTACTTAGCAGTCTCTAAACATACGGTGAGCGTCGTCCTAGTCCGTGCTGAAGGTACCCAGCACCTTCCTATCTTCTACGTAAGCAAGACTTTGCTCTCGGCGGAATCAAGATATCTGCCGCTAGAAAAATTGGCCCTGGCCTTGATGATGGCTTCTAGAAAGCTGGTACACTATTTTCATGCCCACACAATAGTTGTGCTAACTGAGTTTCCACTTAAGGTGCTCTTTGAAAAGGCGGACTTTACCGGGAGAATTTTGAAATGGGCCGTAGAGTTGGGGCAATACGACATCAAGTTCCGATCGCGTACCGCAATCAAGGCTCAAGCTCTTGCAGACTTTGTGGCGGAGTTTGCCCCTGGAATGCATCCTGTTTGTCCGGTTAATTTGGCTGAAGCAGATTTGGCGTAACCCACAGTTCAGGCAACAGGGACAAGTGGTGGATCATAAATGGAAGCAGGGAAAATGCAAGCCGAAGTGGAAAAGCTAGATAACTCATCAGAAGACAAGCCCAACCAAGACATGGGAAGAGACCAGAATGAACTGACCAGTACCTTGGAGTTGAAAATCTCCCAAAACCCATCAGACTGCTGGAAGTTGTTTATTGGCGAGATGTGGAAGCTCTTCGTCGATGGGGCCTCCAACAGACATGACGCCGAGCTGGGTATCGTGCTGACTTCGCTGGACAGGCTGGTTATCAAGCAAGCAATTACGCTCGGCTTCCCAGCGTCCAACAATGAGGCAGAATATGAGGCCCTCCTTGCCAGATTGAGAAATGCATTAAGAATGAAAGCATCGACTCTTATGGTATTCAGCGACTCCAAGCTGGTGGTCAATCGAGTCTCTGGGGAGTATGAAGCCAGGGACGAAAGAATGGCCAAATATCAGGCGCTGGTGCACGCAAAAATCAAAAAGTTCACCGCAATAAGAGTGGAAAAAATCAGCCGCGAAGAAAACAACACGACTGATGAACTGGCCGGCCTTGCATCCACGCAAACAGCTTTTCCCAATCCATTGATGATAGAACTCCTACCTCAGCCAAGCATTGAGGAACCAGAAGTGTCCGAAGTACTTTGCGCTAACTTAAGACCATCCTGGATGGACCCCGTCATCACCTTCCTAAAAGATAAAATTCTACTAAAAGAAAAGAAGGCAGCCAACAAAATGCAGGCCAAATCAGAACGGTTTTGGCTCTTTCCATCTAGAGCCTTGTACAAGAAGTCTTTCACCGGGCTGTATCTGAAATGCGCCCACCCCGACAAGGTGGAAGCTTTCCTCTATGAGGTTCATGAAGGCATTTGCGAGAGTCATACTGAGGGCATGTCTTTGGCTTACCGAGCGATTTCCCAGGATTATTGGTGGCCGTGCATGCAGGCGGACGCGCAGAAATACGTTCGCAAGTGTGAAAAATGTCAAAAATTTGCTCACCAAATCCACTGGCCGGCCAGAGAATTGCTCTCCCTTACAAGTCCTTGGTCGTTCGCGCTTTGGGGATTGGATATTGTGGGACCACTCCCAATAGCGTCAGGCAACCGCAAGTTCTTCATCGCTGCTACCAACTACTTCACCAAGTAGGTTGAGGCCGAGCCATTGGCGACCATAAAGGAAAAAGACATGAAGAAGTTCGTCTAGCAAAATGTTATCACTTGTTTCGATATACCGAGGGCCCTCATTTCAGATAATGACACTCAGTTTGATGGGAAACTCTTTCGCGGATTTTGCGAGGAGTTAAAGATCAAGTTCTACAACTCAACACTGGCCTACCCTCAGTCAAATGGTCAAGCAGAAGCCTCAAACAAGACCATCCTGGACGGGCTGAAGAAGCGGCTAGAGAAAGCCAAAGGGAGGTGGACTGAAGAACTCCCCAATGTGCTTTGGGCATACCGCACCACGCAGAGACGTTCGACCGGAGAAACACGATTCGCCTTGGCCTATGGCATGGAAGCCGTCCTCCCACTGGAAATCAGCATGCCAACCATTCGGTCTGAAAGCTTTCAGCCAGACTTGAATAATGAAGCAGTGGCCTTGGAACTCGACCTAGCTAAAGAAAGAAGGGAACGTGCTCTGATCTACATAGCAACCAATCAGCAAGAGCTCTCCAAGAAATACAACAAGGTCGTGCATCCAAGGGTATTCAAGATCGGAGACTAGGTCCTGAGAAAGGTAATGGGCAACATGGTGATCCTTGGCGAAGGCAAACTCGATGCAAATTGGGAAGGACTGTATAAGGTAACTGGCCTTGCAGGCAAAGGGGTACACCACCTGCAGGACTTGGATGGTAAAGCTATCCCCAGACCGTGGAATGTAGCTAACCTTAAGATTTTTTACTTTTGAAATGTAATCGTTTTTGTTCATTAGCCTTTTGAACCTTTGTAAATTGCTGACATGTAATGAAAGATAGCCCTACTTTTTTGTTATATTATGTGTTCATGTACAATGACATCACAAGGACATTGGGCCACTATGGATGCCAGGGGCAAGGAGACCAGCCTGTACTGGGCCGAACAGATTTTTTCTCGCTGGTCTGGAGACAGGTCGTGCGAACAGTTGGTGCTTTGCCCAACTTATAAGGGTCGAGCTGATTTTAACTCGCCGAAAATGAACCGTTGGTGTTTTGCCTAACTTGTAAAGGCCGAGCTAATTTTTGCTCGCCCAAAATGAAATGTTGGCGTTTTATCCAACTTATAAGGGCTGAGCTGATTTTTGCTCGCCCAAAACGAAATGTTGGCATTTTGCCCAATTTATAAAAGCCGAGCTGATTTTGCTCGGCCAAGTGACATGTTTGTGTTTTGTCAAACTTGCCGAGGGCCAAGCTGACTTTGCCCGCCCGACGAAAACAATGGCGTTCTGTGCAACTAGTGTAAGGGCCGAGCTGACTCTGCTCGCCCACACCACCAAACTTTGTAGTCGAGCTAATTTTAGTCGTCCGAGCTGGCAGTTATATTTGATAAACATTTCAAATCGAAGAAAATTTGCACGTTATAACCGAGACGATAACTACCGCACAAGAAATAGATACAAGGCGGGCAAAAAGTTGAAGTTTTCATTAATTGAGCAAGTTGGATTACAAAGGTGGGGCCAAGCCCGGCTACATAAAAAATAAATAAAGAAAAAAGGGTCGAAGATCAATCTAAATCTATGTCAACGGTCTGCTCGGCCAATCCCTCCTCGGCCTCATCTGCCGTAGCGTCCACCACCGCGACAACCTCCTGCTCGGACTCTTGATCTTTGGTCCTCTCAGAAGTTTCGGGAGGAATTTTCTTGGCAGGTTGCGCGGTGGTAGTTTCCTCTTCAGCTGCTTGCTTGGCCTCTTCGATGAGCCTCTTCTGCACCGCGCCGGCATAAGCTTGCATATGGGCCGGGAGGAAGGCAGCAGGAGGGTTTTGAAACACCTCGGCATCTGGGCCAAGGCCAAGTTTTTCCATGGAATTTTTCTAACTGCACTGGAAAAAGATATCCTTGGTCCCCTGAACCTGTCGTTCATAAGTCCTCTCGCCCTCTGCGTAACCGCAATCTTTAGTGTCCTCGACCTTCTTATCCACCTCGGCCTTGTGGACATCGCGGAGTTTGCGCAGCTCAAAGATGTATCGAGCCTTGGTCATCTAGAGGGCCCTCTGCTTCTCCTCATCAGCCCGAGCCAACCATTCTGATAGTTGATCGCGCTCAACCAACAGAGCTTTCTGCGCGGCCTTCACTTTTTCCAGTTCAGCCGTCTTGGCCTTGTTGTCGGTAATGGCCTCCCGCAGACTCTTCCTCACGGCTATCATTCGCTCGTGGGCGAGATTCTTAAAATCAATTTTCCAAAACGATTTGCTGGATTTGGGCTCTTTGGTGATTTATCAATCTCACATCGCACATTGTGAGATCAGATTAAGAACCGTGACATTTGAGTCCGAATTGTAGCACAGCATAAAGCCCTTGGGGCTCGTCTACACCGAGAGAGTAATCCTTGTCAGCATAGACTGAGTCCGCAGTGGAGACAGCCCGGCCTTTGTATGTTAACTCGGACGACCAGACTGGGGGGGCACTGGATTGTACGGATGGCCCGGTGATCGGTTGTTCAGTCTGGTCCCTCAAGTCGGTAGAAGCATGCTCGATTGAGTCTTCATCTGCCAAATGTTGTTCGGTCTGATTTTTTCTCGGCCTTTTCTTCGACCGACCTGCAGCTTGTTCGCTGGCCAAAGCCAGCATAACCCCCTTTTCTTGCACAGCCGGCGTAGATGAAGTTCCCTCAGCTGCCTCCGGTGGCTGGGAGTCGCTCGCCTCACCGGTGATCATTGACTTAATAGCTCGGATCTTGGCCATTTCTTGTTCGGCTGTTAAAAGGACCAGTTTGATCGGTGGAAGGCTGGGATCTGGTTCTGGAGAAGGTGCACGCAGGAAGTCTGTCACCCTACTCCTGCGAAGGGCTGTGTAGTGATAGCTCGGTTCATAGCCGAGCAGCTTGGGTGATTCCCTTTCCTCAGCCGAATGCTGCAATGCAACTCTAATGGCCTCTTGGTTTGCGCGAGAGTAATCGTCTGCCAAGAGTTTATAATCTACAACAAGAAGGCAAGTGTTAGATCGGCAGTAAGAAGATCAATTCAGAAAGAAAATAATATATATTCGCCGAGACGCTCACCGGCACTCCCAAAATCTTTCTTAATGTACCAGTTTGGTATAAGCGCCTCGGTGTCCTCATAACGACTGGACACCCACAGGAAATCGTTATCGTTTGATTCTTTATCCGGATTACCTTCACTGAGTTTTGCTCGGCCTTTTTTGACCTTCAGATACCAGCAAAGCCCACCTTTATTTTTGCTAAGACTATATTGGTGAAATATCTCGGCGAGGCCGAGATTCAGACCGAGTATTCTATTTAGCTTGGCCACACCGTTTATTATCTTGTATGTATTGTTGGAGACTTGGGTTGGGCACAACCTTGTCTGCCTAAAAAACTCGCAGATCAGTGAGTAGACCGGGAAGCGCAAGCCTCCTTCTACTATGGACACCACCGTGAAGGGGCATCTGTCCAGCTCGCCCCAGAGAGTGTCTCCTTTCTTGGCGAGCTCTAAGTGGATATCATCCGGGATACTGTACTCTCTATGGAACTCGGTCAGTGCCCCCGAAGAACTCACCATGAACCGGTATTTCCCCATCTATCCCAGTTTTATTTATTGGGATGACTTGGGTTGTATCTCGGTGAAAAGTTTTTGTGTGTTTGCTCAGACTTTGAGCTTCACCGTTGGTAACACTGAACGGGCCTGGTCAGTCCTAGTTTGTTCTGCATTATTAAGAAATAAGTCCAAGGATTAGCGTGGCATAAATTGCACGGCTCCAATGGGAAGTGTCTAGCTCGATTTTGAAACTTGGGGCGTTTGATTGGTTTTCTTTCCTATCTCGGCTTCACTATCTGGCCGACCTGGCCTTCCTAGATCGGTTCTTACCCCCTAGTTGCAGCTCGGTCTCAACCTCAGAACAAGACCACAAACCAAGTTTTTTCTCGGCTAAATCCTATTTATGGATCTAAATGATGGTTTTAGCTCGATCTTACCCAGGGCCCGCTCTGTTCATCCCAAATATGAAATTCATGAATTGATGCCAAGGGAAACCAGGGACATGAAGGCCCCATCCATTTCTTTAATTTCAGTTTTCCTTAGTGTATATCAGTTTTATGCAAAAAATGGGGGGACTAGTAGAGTACCAACAGTCCCAAATAAAGAATTTGAAAAGCATAAATGAAGAACATGAAGAACACAGGCATAAAAATACGAGAGAGGGGTAAAGAAGCTTACTAATGACGGGTGCCACGCAGAGATCAGTCAATCGCGAGCTTGATTACAACTTCAGAAGGGATAGAAATGGACGAAGATGAGGCAAAGAGCAACAATGTCAGTGGTGGCAGAAGCCTGGAGGTTTGGAGGCTAGGGTTTTGGTTCGAGAGAGAAGGTGAACAGTAGGGGCGTATGACCCCTCGTATGCGTATGTAAAGGAGGGGGGAAGCCAAAGGGCGGCAACCATTTGAATTTTACGCGTGAGGGAGACAGTTGTGGGGCTGCACAGGCCCAGTGATGTGAGGCCATGTGGTAGCGAAAAGATGGTTCTGTCAGTACGGCTGTACGATCGGTGACAAGACTACTGGCGCAATTTAAAAGACCAAATAGGATAGCTCGGTCATGGTTGTAATCCCAATCACGCTCAACTCGGATGGGATTAAGGGGCAATTGAGAGGGGGATTTGCACCGGACAGGTACGGCCGAGCTACGGTAACGCGGGTTATAACGGACCTTGCGAGAGACGAGCTATTTCCTCAGTCGGAGTGATTCCCCGGCCCGTCATGCTCGGCCGAGCTAGATTTGTCGACCGGAGCGTGGAGTCAGGCGTGTGCCAGACCGAGTTGTGATTTGGCTAGGTCTTCGTTGAATCCGCAATGGTGCGTTTGGACCGAGCCAAGAACAGCCCGAAATGAATTTAGGCCGGGGCGAAGGTCGGCACGCCTCACGGCCAGTCAGCTCGGAAGGACCGACGTCATACAGCTCGGCCGTGAGAATCATTGTTGTGTTTCTTCCCAAGGGATAGATAGGTCATGGTATCCC